GGGGGGGGGGGGGGGGGGGAGAGAACGAGTCCGTCTACCGCGCCTCAATCACAGCGTATCGTTTTTGCGTTTTCCGTCCGCGCGCTGTACAGAAAGAACGCCTCGCGCCGGTGATGGCGGGTAGGGCAACAACGACGGTCCGCCACCTACCGCAGCAGCAGCAGCAGCACGGAAGCACTGCTTCCGCCTCTCACCTAACGGCATCCGCCATGGCGGGGAGGTTTCCCTTACGCCTCCTGTCGGCTTCCTTCTCTTCCGCGGTTTTGTTGCGCTCCTTGGCGCTGAAACGGCAGCAGAGGTAAAGCGGGGACGTGCGGGTGGTTGGCTATTGGTCGTGTTTCGGTCTTGTAGTAGTGCTGTAGAGGGCAGCCCCGCATTCACCAAGCCGCACATATTAGGTATTAGGTGTTACTGACATGAAAAAACGAAAAAAGATCACGCAACACACAATAGAAACACACACTGTTGAGCCGGAACGTAGCTGTACGTACCTTCTGCACGCAGCATGCAGGGCACGTCGCTATGAAAAGACAAAAAGGTGGGCAACTGATATGTACGGCACCTCCACGGCGCCCCCCCCCCCTTCTCCGGTTTCTCTCACTACACGACCTATCCGCCCACCCACTCAACCGGCTAGGCCATCCGCTGCCCCATCCTCTCCCACGACTGCTTCTAGCCGCAACACCAACCAACAACAACCGAGGCCGAACAGCAAAAAACGAAAAACGAGCTGCTTTTTCACGTAATCCTTACGCACATGCATACCTCAGCGCATCTTTTTGCCGAAGCCGCTCCCGCAAGGCTTCCAAGTTCTTCGGAGCGTCCGGCCCTTCCTCGTCATAGTCAACACGGCCACCGCTCATCCCGGAAGCCACGCATCCCCCTCGGGAGGTACCCGGCAACAGGTTGCCACCAATACCACCACCACCACAACGGCCATCAACAGGGGACCTCTCCAACCCTTGGCTCGTCGACGGTGATTCTGCGGCGCCCCCGGCGTGGGCAGCAGCACGAGAGCCGCCGCTGATGCCATCCGCCCGGAGAGGTCTCGTGTCCGGGAGGGGAGCCTGCGGCAGGCAGGAGCACTCGTCTCGCGGAGCGCTAGGTTCATTGGTGATGCCCTCGCTGCCGCCGCACTTGCAGTGTCTGACGAAAGAGAGGCGTTTTTTTTTTTTTTTCGCACAGAGAAATGGCGGTAGGTAAGTATGCGCGCGAGTCGCCCAGTCGAGAAAGGTGGCAGGGGAATAGAGTATGGTCGGGGCAGACACATGAGCCACTGGTGGAGGCAAGGGAGTTCCTCGACAATGGAGGGAGGGGAGAGAGTCGCTACAGGCATTCAAACATCGGAAACAGTTGCCCCAAGATACCTCTCGCACGGGGTACCTGGCACCGGATTTCGTCTATGCCGCGATAAGCCTCAGAGCCCTGCACAACTCCGCAAGTTCCATTTTTAGGTGCGACAAAAAAAAGGCCACTTTGACGGTTGGGGCAACCTCGGTCGACAGGCAAAAGAGCGCCAACAACAAAAGTCATTGCCCACAGAAATCAAGGCCCCGGTTGTGCTCACCTCGCCCTTGCCGACGCCAGCAGGCGCAGGAAGATGCCCCTCCTTCGCGCCGACAGGGCCTCGCCCCCCGCGTTGCTACGGCCACCGGTGTCTCCACCGTTACGTCCACCGCGATCCGCACCGGCAACCGCACCTTTCCCAGCCGCAGGGGCCTTTCCTACCCTATCTCTTCTCGCGCCCTGCGTGTCATCATCGAGGCAAGCTTCATCGGCCGGCGGCGGGCTTGGCCCGGTCTCGATGAAGATGTCTCTCAGCCGGTAGCCACCCCGGGTGGGTCGCGCATCCGTCTTGCTGGAAAGCTTGTACGCGTCTGCGGCGGGGTTACCGGAAAAGAGAGGAGGAAATATCTCGGAAGGTTTCCCAAGACAAGCGTGCTAACAAAAGGTCGACAAGTTAGAGTCATCTAGTCGGTTTCCAACATGCACACTATCACCATTACCGAACGGGAGGAATATGCCCAAACACGCACGGCTACCACTGCCTGGGCAACTACTGGACAAGAGAAACAACCCGACAAGGACGCCCATGGTTCCAACTGCTTGCACAAGTGCCGGGCGCACACGAACAAACTTTGCGCTGGAAATCCGTTCGCGAACAAACCTTGATACTTGCGGCGTGTCTGTATCTGAGACACCGAAAAAATGAAAATAGCTTTTAAGAGGCTGGTCCCAACACGCGTGAGATAACATTTTAGTCTGCTTCTTGTTTGTTTGGAGTTTCTTTGCCGAACGTGAACATGAGCTCGTCTATGCTCGCGGGGAAAAGAGCAAGAGAGTATGATGTTTTCTGTTTTCCGGGGGGACAAACGCGGTTGATCCGGCAGAGGTGTGGTGAAAACACTCCACGGGTGCTCGCGATAAGACTACCGACGTGCTGCCGATGGGGCAATGCCCGGTGTCCCGTAAGGAGAAACCTGGTGCGGTTTACTCTCGCTGCTTGCTCACCTGGCTGCACGAAAGCAATCTGCGCGAGGTGTTGCCTCGTGAAGGAGCGGCCGCACATCCCCTCCACCGCGGGCTTGATCTGCTTAAGCAGCGTCGCCTGCCTCCTGCGGCGGAACAGCGTCAGCACTTGCTCCAGCGCCAAGAACATCGCCTCCAGCGGGCAGGGATCGAGGCCGTGCCCCTCACCACTATCCCGACCACTTGCGCTGCTCTCTTGGGCCCCTTGCAATGATGTCGGTATCCCCGGCGCCTGTCGTCACGATCGATCGGGTTTCAACATCGGAAGTGAACGAAACAAGGTGGAGAAAATCGTTTTCTGCATGGTTGGGGTGAGCGGCGATACAGGGGAAGAGAGACGGAGGCATAGACAGAAGGCAGATAGGGAGATGGATAGATAGACAGATGGATGAAGAGCAAGAGAGAGAGAGAGGGAGAGAGAGGAGACCAAAGCACTGATTCACTTTACGACCGCCCAAACAGCGTTCACAAGAAGGAAGGTACAGGTGATGCACTGCTTTGCATACGAATCGCTGCCAGAGCCTCCGTGCGACCACTACTGCTGTTGCAACTGAGAATTTGGTAATCAAGTGAGACGAAACTGGTTGTGGGTCGCCAAGCTCATCGGGAACAAGTCCCCGAGCTAACCGCTCGCGCCATGCACCCCACGTGGAGATGGCGATGACGGCTCAATCCAACTGCCCACCCGCTAAAGATGGTCAAGCTTGTCGAACAGCCCATTGTAGCAGCGTACCGCTTGAATTGTCTCGAGAATTGTTTTAAGATCGGAGCGAGCTCGTCGGTCGTCACAGCCGTCCCGGGCACACGCAGCAGTGTCCAGCCGTGAAGGACGGGCGCGAGTAACGTCCAAGGTTAAGGTTTGGCGCTTACGTTCACCCGTACCCCCGAGAAGACTCTGAACAAGTGGCATGCCGCGCTCATATTGTGAGTTGGCAGACCCCACTGCCGTCCACCCTGCTGTATCCCCGCGATATATGCCCGATGATTCTTACGAATTTGTACATGCACCACGTCCCGAGAATGGCACATTACACGACCTGCAGCAGCGTCTGCATCTCGCGTGCAACGGGGATGCGAGCGCGGAATAAACCGACCGACCAAGACCCACCGCCGTCCCGTCGAAATGCGACACAGCAGACCTACACAACCAGCGATTCTACACAGGAGAGAGTCGAAGCACAGTCCAACCTGATCGTGTTGCGCGTCCGGCGGCCGAGTGTCCAGCCGCACAGCAGCGACGGGCGACAGCAGCGTAGCCAGCATCATCATCGCCGCGTCCCCGTCGGCGGCTCCGCCCGCGGTGTTGTCGGTGTCGCCGCCGCTGCTACTGCTGCCGGTCCCACCCCCGCTCTGGTTGTTGCGTGCCTTCTGCGACGACGCTCTCGCCGCGACCGCAGGGATGGTGGTTGCAGCGGTGGCACAAGGATTCGCTGCGCGATTGCCGCCGCCGCCGCTGCTGCTGCTCTTTGCCCTTGTTCTCCTCGAGACGGCCGTTGGCAGCGGGGTTCCTTGCGGCCCACCTGCCGCCGCCGACCGCTTGGAGCGGCGGGGGCTTGAGCGCACAGCGGTAGCAGGAGTGGCTTCGTTCGACCGAGTCTCGGCGACCCTCGCTAAACAATGGCCCCGTTCCTGGCCCACTGCTGCGCCGGCTGCTGCCGCTACTCGCACGGCGTGGCCCCTAGTCGACATGTTCGCCTTGGTCATCTTCCCGTTGGTTTGAATTGGACCTGCTGCTGATGATGATGAAGATGCCCCGCCCGCTGCTGCGGCCGCCAGCAGCTCGGCGCCGCGCGTGGACCTCTTCTTGCTAGGAGGATAAGCGTTGGACGCCGCTATACGATGCTTCATCTTGAGGCTGTAACAGTAGATATGGCAGTCGAGGTGGGTTAGGAAACCAGCGAGAAGCTGTGCACTGAACAAAAGCAAAGGCATGATCAGGAACGGGGGCCCCGTGATATATATCGGCTCCATAGACAGGTACCTACATTTACCCCCATTCTCCACTCTTCGCAGAGAGAGCGATACAGGCGAGAGTGGCCCGAAAGGGCACACGGGAATAGGGCGTGACAGAAGGGCGAAGCTGTGCGATCGAGAGGTGTAAAGGGACCCGTCGACAGGGCCGTCGCCGACGGTGAGATTTCGTTGTAGCCGTGGCAAAGTACAGGGTGAAATCCCTCTAGCCAGTAGTGTCTCATCTGAACGAAGCGTAACCGGCGCACACAGCACCTCCAACACGAGATCTCAAACCCGTGGTGTTGGTAATTACTTCGTAGTCCAGAGGAGGGTTAGAGTCGGTACCGCAAAGCAGCGTCGTCGATCTTTCTCGTAGGCGCTCGAGCGAGGATATTGCAAGCGTGCGTGCTTATTCTCCATCCTGCACGCCGCCCACTGCTGCTGTTCGGGTCTCGTGCGTTGCTGGCCCTCGAAAAATCATTTCCATCTTTTCCCTCTGAATCCACCACACGCGACCGAATGACTCAAAAATCGCAAGTGATTTTGAGTTGGGTGGCGGCTTGTCCTGTTGGGTGGCTGCTGGTTGTGTGTGTGCTTGCTGCTTAACCGGCCCAGAGAATCGACGACACACGCGAACCTACGCACTACTGTTGCCTTTCTTCTGCCCGACGTTGTTCCCCATCGCAGCTCGTGGGCCACAGCCTGCTCCAGACTAAAAACTGCCCTCCTCGAGGGACCGCTAAAACCAGGCCTCAAGTCGTCGAAACTGCAAGTCAGGACAGGTTGTGTTTTTTGTGGTGGGGTTGCCTAGAGGCGGTGTCGACTCTCCTCCAACCGGCGGGAAATTTTTTGTTGCTGCGACGCTGGTGTTCGCTGGCACTGCTGACCTCCCTGTTCCCACGCGAGGCAAAAAAAATAAAGTCTCGGGGCAGCGGCGCTTTGTGCTGCTGCCGGGACAATGCCGGCGAAAAAAGGCAAGACAAAGGGCAAGAAGGCAGGATCGTCCTCGTCCTCAAAGACAACAGCGGTGGCCGCCGGCTTTGATGTAGTAGAAAGAGGGGGTGGGCAACAAAACGACAGCAGCGGAGGAGGAGGCGGCAGCAGCGGCAGCGCCTCCAAGAAGTCCAAAGGCGGCGGTGGGTCCAGCGAAGACTTCTTGCGTCGACGACGGACACCGGGCGGCGGCGACAACGAGCCCGGCGGTGTCGGGGGCGGGGGCGACTTTCGGCATACGAACGGGGGCAGCAGCTCGGGCGATTGCGAGAGAGACAGGGATACCGGGGACAGAGATAGGGACAAGGACGGCGGTAGCAGGGGTCTAGGGGGCGGGGGCACCCGGGGTGATCATTGCCACAACGGGGAGTCGTTATGTCGGAGCCCCTACATCAGGAGCTCGGCGGGGAAGCAATGGTCATGGCTGGGGTATTCGGCCAAGCAGTTCCGGTCGTTCGCGCAAGAGTTTCCCCCGATGTTGGACATCGGGGCGGAAGAGGTGAGATGATGATAAGTGCCGGTACACCTGACGGTTACCGTCGGCGGGATCGGGCCGTCCAATCGTGTTTTTCACGCCGTCGCCGTTCTCGGGACCGACTCCTTCCACCAATCACGTGGCGTGATTCAGTGGGGACCAGGGCAGAATAGTTGCCAGCAATGCATACAGGGATGGAATACTTGTGCATTTGTTGACGGTTTCAGCAGTAGTGGAGGGCGCGTACATGCCGTAGCGACATCAAGTGTAGCCAAGGTCCCCCGTGGAATGATTGCAACCAGCCACGCTGGCTCCGGCTCGGCGGAGGGGAAGATGCATGTCCTTTGTTGTCAAGAATTATCGCACCCACTCGTGAAAAAGAGTGTGCCCTGTGCCTTGTGATCACAGAGGAGTATTGCGCAGGCAGCGCAACGGTATAAGGACTCGCTCGCGCGCACACCTCCGCGCACAGTCTTTGTCCGGTGCGTGGTACCTGTTGTCTCACATCCGCGCTCTGACGCCATATTGCCCCCTTGTCACCCCAGGTGCGCTTGAAGATTGAGGACATAAAGTGCAGCACGTGTCGAGATCGCCTGCTGATGGCGCTCGGCCGGGGGCTCCGCAGAGGCGGTTTCCCCCTGACCAAGCTCGTCAAGCTGGCCGCGTGCCGCTCCGGCTCCAAGCGACCCGAGGAGACGTGCACCCCGACGTCCACGCCCCCGGCGGCGGCCACCGGTGGGCGGGGAGACCCCGGCAGCGACGGACGGGCACCGGTGGTCCTGACAAATGGGCAGAGTGGCGTCGGCGAAGAGTCTCAGAAGAAGGAGGAGCCGGCAGCGGGGGGCGGCGGCGGCGGCAATGCTAGCGGGAACATTCTACCAAGCGACCGGCTGCGCATCCGCGCCCCGGTCACCCCGGACCTTCTTCGACAGGTGATCGGCGTCGTGCAGCAGGCGGCGCTGGTGCCGCCCGCCGCGGACGCTTCCGGCAAGAGGGAGGGCGCGGCGGCGGATTTGTTGGCAGAGGAGTGGCTGTCTACCTACCCCGCGCCGGACCCCGCCCTGCTACAAGCGGGCGAGGCGAAGTCGAACGCCGGCGGCGGCGGCGGCGGCCTGCGGGGCACGGGGACGGGCTCCCTGTCGTTTTCGCGCGGAAGCTTCGGCGGCGGCGGCGGCGGCGGCGGCGGCGGCGGCCACGGGCGGTCGGACAGCGCCGAGCGAAACCCGTGGGCCTTGATGGAGCGGGTAGATCGAGCCAGGGACAACGCGATGAAGTGCTGCGGGGTCATCGAGGATAGCGCCGGGGGTGCGAGCAGCAGCGGCGGCGGCGGTGGGTTGTTGGAGTCGAGCGGCAGCCTCAACGGTGGGGGATCGTCTTCGATGGCCGGGAACATAGAGTGGAACCCGCAGTTCGCCCCGCGCCTGCAGGAGGCGGAGGCGGCCATCGTGGAGTGGCTGACGGACCTCACTATGGCGCTGCACGGGCTGACGTTCCAGTTCACGCTCGCTTTCATCGGCGAGGATGACGGCCAGGACGGCAGCACCGGAAGCAGCGACCTGGCCGAATCCACGGCCCTGGCGGAGGACCTCTGGACCGCCTACGAGGAATCGGTGAAGCGGCAGCTGGAGCTCACCCTGGAGGCGAGGAGAGAGCAGCTCCGCGAGCAGTCTCAGCCGATGGGGCTCGCCCTCTGCTTCACGGCGCAGAACCGCGTACTGGCTTCGGAGTTGCTGGGGCGAAAGCGGACGGAGATGAACGCGCTGCACCAGGCCACGATCGGGGTGATGGCGGCGCCGAAGCTGAGGCCGCTCCTCCAGCGCGCGGAGCGGGCGCGCCAGAAGTGGTCGAGCTTGCTGCTGCCCGAGGACGTCTACGCGCTGGACGACTTGGTGGAGCGGGTTCTGAGGGCTCGCCTGCAGGTGTGTTCGTGGGGGGCGTTGCTGCAATGGTATTGGTTGCTGCTGCTGCCGCTGCTGCCTCTGCTGCTGCCGCTGCCGCTGCTGTGCATGTATCATGGTTGGCATGCGAGTGAAGGTGGTGTGTATTGGTATGTTGAGGGGGATCGTTTGTTGAGGATATGGTCTGGAACTCAGATGAGTGCGCACGATAGGGCCATCAAATACTGACGTGCATACTCTTGCAACGCCCCTTCCCCCCGCGCGCGTATTCACACGCACACACATGTTCAGGTTTTCAAGGTGGAGTCGTTCGCGTACAACGCTTCCAGCGACGTGATCCAGGCGGAGCAGATGGCGGACGCCCAGCTCAAGACGGTGGTGCAGGAGTGGGAGGCGATGCTAGACGGCCTCAAGGCCCGTGTTGAGTACAGGGTGTCGGAAGAGCTCAATGCCACGGTCTATCCGCAGGTTTGTGTGTGTATTTTTTTTAGGCGGGACAGCGGCTGCCGGGTTTGTGTGCTCTTTGCGTGTGGTGACGCATGGGTGAGGGATGATGGGGCGGGAAGAAGGAACCCCGAGCAGCAGTCCTGCGGAGCAACAATGTCCATCATACGATGGAGTTGGCTACATGCAGTAGTCGGCCAGGATCGAGAGATCGACAACATTGATGCCGTTGATTATGCCATATTAGTAGTTCCCTCGGCAGTACACGCATAGCGGCATTTGCACGAGTTTTACCGAGGAACCACCAATGATGTGGTCCAAGGAGCCTGGCAGAATCGTAAACCGACACCCCCCCCTCCCTCGCTCCCCGCCGTCCGCGACCCGACAGTCGCCGGCGCTGACGTCAGCACTGCAGACGTGGCTGTCGACGTTCCAGGCGGACTGGGTGGGCAATGAAACAACCCAGCAGCTGCACGCGCACATCCGCCAGAGGCAGGTGCACCAGCTGTGCCAGACCTTGGTGGCCAAGAAGCAGCGCCTCAAGGCAACCAAGGACGAGGTGGGTGGGCGCTGTGCT